GGGGGGTAAAGTCGGGATCGCGTGGAGGGGGAAGGAAGAATCGCGCGAGGAAAGGGGGAACGCGGGGGGGGGGACCTAACGGATAGCGGGGGGGGAAAGGGACGGGGAAAGATCGTCAGGGGGAGAAGGAAAGGAGGCGGAAGATAAGGGGAAGAAGAAGAAGAAGAAAAAAAAATAAAAAGGAACATAGTCGTCGATTACTTATCTACGCGGAGGTAGCAACGACGACACGACGCGGCGACGAGGACGACGAGCACAACGATGGCGACGTGGCACGACGACGACGATCGCGACGGTGACGATGATGACGTGGCACGACGACGACGATCGTGATGATGACGATGATGACGTGGCACGACGGCGATGATCACGACGATGACGTGGCACTACGACGACGATCACGACGATGATGCTGATGATGGCCAGGTGGTGACGACGAAGCAGGGTCAGTCGAACACGTTCGAACCGCTCCGATACCAGTGTAACGCGCACGAGGCTAAGGGAGAGCCGAGGGAGAGGAGAGAGAGAGGGAGAGAGGGAGAGAGTGAGAGCACACACACACACTCACTCACTCGACACGACTGAGGGTCGGACGCAGACACAGTGGCAAGGGCACAAAGTCAAAGTCTTGGATTCCTGAAATGTCGAAACAGCAAGTCACACGGAGTACGAGTACAGCAGTTGGAAACCGGTACCAGACTGGTCCCCGTACCGTACGGGGAGCTGGTATAAGTATCGGTGACCTGTACGGTACCAGGGGCAATTTTGCAAAGGCCCCGAGGGCAGAACTGAAAAATGAGGTATTTGAAAGTGGCGCCCGTATTGCAGCATGGCGCCAGTTGTCCAAAATCCTACGGTACCAAAGGAGGGGTTTGGAAAAAGGGTGCCAGGCCGAAAACGAGATGCAGCAGAAACAGCAAAAAGATAGACCAGGGACGAGCCCTGGCGGAGTCCGTAACAGGTGGAGTAACGGTTGACGTCGAGGTTAACTACTAAAACCGTGGTCATATATAAATTTCGTTAACTTACTGGAAGGCGATGTTTGGGTTCGCATAATGTGAGGTGCGTTGAGTATTTGAGTTTGGCCATGTTGGCAGTGGAAATTGCTAATGACCTTAGCTAGGTTGGCGTAAACGGGGTGTGGCTGCGCAAAAGTGGGGGTTTTCCCGACATCGGAATAGTAAGGAGCGCAGCCTTTTTGAGGGAATAGAGGATAGGAGTTTTCCTCGACGACAACGCAATTAGGTGATGTGTTTGGCGATCGTGAGCAAAACCGACCCCTCCAAGTGCCAGCTGCAGGAGTGTGGCTATTGTAGAAGTGGAACGTAGGCCAAGGTGAGGCTTTCATGACAGTTTAATAGGTCTAGGCCCAGGGCGGATACCGCCTTTTATAAGGATGTTCGCGCCTTCTACACCCAACCTTGGGCCTAGCACTACTGGTTATGACATTGGACTTTCACACGACGGATACGGGGATCAAGGCCAGCTGCTGAGGACGATGGAGTTGAGGAGAGCTATAGGACAGGTTGAGGGGTTGCGGGTCCAACGTGACTATCCCCCTTGACTTTTGCAATGGGACCCGAGCACGGACCCGATAGGCAGGGCCAAGCGCGAGGTGCTAACAGGTTCCTCTCTTCCCCCCTCCCCATTGGTCGTTTTCCTCGTTATTTTATTTTTATCTTTATTATAATTGTCGTAGTTCCATTTATGAGACATATGACCGACATTGATACATGAACCAGTTTTGAAACCAATAGGCGTAGCTCGGTTGGTCCACCCTGTGGGCTGCTGAGATTTACAAACTCGAGTTCGAACTCCACTAGAAGCAACCAAATTGGACACTACAAACTCTAAATTACCTGGGGCGGTCAAAACCAGCGATGGTACCGTGAGGCATTCGCCCAACTTCTGATCCTTTTGGGCATCTGTTAAGATTGGAATAATACAAAGAAGATTAGAATGACCCTTGGACTTAGTTTTGCACCAAATTCGGTCACATGCATTTCAGAAAATACTAGCTTGGGCCAGGGCTAGAAAGAGTCATAGGTTCTCACCTCAACGATAAAGTTAAGGCAGGCTGGCTATAAAGGACTGTGTCGAAGGTTCTCACCTCAACGATAAAGTTAAGGCAGGCTGGCTATAAAGGACTGTGTCGAATAAGGCTTAGGGGCTTGTTCATTTTGATATCGGTGGCGGAAACGATGTCGGATCGACCGACAACAAAGGTTCCAATCAAAAGGAAGAACTGGTGAGGAAAGACGGGAGACGAGGATCCATCCGACAATATTTTAGCTGAAACTTCATTACCTTCTCCTTACTATCGTCAATGTCGAGGTTCTGCTCAGTGAAGTCACGCTCGTCTCCACACGATTGACACACTTAGTCCCCTTCTAGGGGAAGATTCACTCTCATTTTTGCAAATTTGAAGATTTGTGCAGCGGGCAACGGAGTAAGTGCTTGCGAGCGTAGGGAAGAGAAATACAATGAGAGAAAGGAGGGAGGGGAGTACCTATCATACATTTTTCCTCCCATTTTCTAGCAGGAGATTCATCACCAGCTTGGTCGGTGACGAGCACATGAACACACAAAGAGAGAGAGAGAGAGAGGAACGTCGGTCGGGGTCGCGACCATCTTTAGTTGGCAGCAACATCGTCCTCATGCAGCGCTTTGTGGTCCCCTCATTGTCACCATTGCGGGGGTGTGTTCAACGTGCTCCAAGTAATCACCATCGTTACTACTCTTCTCGAAGTCGTACGTAGTCGCCCTCAACAAGGCCGTAGTTGTGTTATGTTTGGTCGTGATGGTGGCCAGTTCCAATCCAACTCAGGCGTGATTGCAGTCAGGTACATTAAGTCAAGGGCAGTGTATCTTCTGACATTGAGGGGAAAATTCATTCTCATTTTGCACATTTGAAGATTAGTAGCGCAGGACACCTGATTCATCGCCATCCTCCTTGCATCCTCCTCACAATCGTGGCGGACTTCTTCCTAGCGGTAATGGTGGTAATGTTCAAGGGGCACGTCATTATGGTGGTCGCGTACAGAGAACGCATCTTCCCATGTTCTAGCAAAAGATGCATTTTCACTTTGTCGTTTGGAGGCGGGCGCAGTTGCATATGAGACCGGTGATATATCTTCCCATGTTCTAACCGAAGATTCACTCTCGATTTTTACTTTGTATCTTCCCATGTACTAGCGGAAGATACACACTCATCTTGCTCACAAACGGGCGTAGCAGCTGGAGGTCTCAACAACATGTACCTGTCCACATCCTAACCGAAGATTCGTTCTCACTTAGCACATCTTAGTAAGTAACAGGCTCCTCGTGGTCACTAGCGGGATCCCGACGCTGCTTTGTGTACTCAATCCCGGGTTCACTTTCGTGGTCGGAGGATAACTTCCGCTCAGATTGTCGCTCGTCTGCCTATTCCATTGGGGATGGCATCGAGACTTATTAGTGCTCATCGTTATCTTTATCTCGGTTTCAATTGGTGGAGATCCAAGAGTTGATCGTCTTTGTGGTGGTACTTGTATCAACAGAGGCAGTCATGTCTATGTGGAGGTGCATCTTTCGAGGATCTAGCGAAAGATTCATTTTTATTGTACATGTGGTGAGCGGTGGAGCAGTGCTCATACTT